CACTAGAACCTGATCCAATCAAAACTTCACGCACCCAGATCCAAACGCCGATGGACTTGCATGTTAGTTTCAGTTGTTTTGTAAAGCCCCTGAACTTTAAAACTGGCTCCAAATTTTAGAACTTCTCACCAAACTAGACCTATCCCGAGTTAGGAGCAGAACTAGACTTTTTAAAAGTTTGTACTTAGAACTGAACTTCATGGCTGACCCTGTTCTCAATGGAAACATTCAGCCAAATGCAAAATTTTCAGTTATGACAGATAACATTCAGATCAATGTAGCTCTTAATGACATTCATGCAACACTGCAAACACTTCTATGTTAGCACTTATGATATGAGAACGTTTAGGGCCCAAAGATTAAACACTCAGAGAGCACCTACATTCACCAGACAGAACAGTTGAAAAGCTTTAAATATATATACTTCTGCCATAGTATTCCCTCTATGAATTTTGGCAGTTTGTGTTGTCACTAAACGATTTCTTCTTCATCTGTGAGTGGATGCATAAATAACTGTGAGCTAGCCAAGTCTAACATGAACAGAGGTGAGAAAGGCATCACTGGTAAATGGCTATTTGAGCATAAGCATTATGAGTTTTAAGGGGGAAGGATTTGGGAGATGGTATGTAAAATGAGACTGTTTTTTCAGGCTGTTCTTAGCCAGGACTTAGTTTCTGGGCTTGCAGTTTTCCAGGTATAACAACTCATCTTGAGGACTGAGCCAGAAACCTCCTGACCACTGAAGGTCTCTGCAATTTGAACTGAAGTGATAAACCTCTTTGAAGCATCTAAATGCACTTTAGTTCTCTATAAATAAGCTAAGGATGCAAATATGTAACACACTGAACAACAGGTTGAAGTGCAAATACAAATAAATATAGGAAAAGTGCAATGGTCTGTTTGCTTTACTTGTCTGCCAACAGTAAGAGATTCATCAGTTGTCAAGTGCAACCACACATACTCCCACAAACACAGCAGTGTTTGGAAATCTGACCATTTATGTCCACAACTCTCACCCCTCTTTGCTAGGGGTGAGGATCTAGAAATCTAGAATCATAGCTTCAATGAACTACTCAGCTTTTAAAAAAGAGTATTTTTAAACCACTTACAATAAGAGCAACAGTTATTATTCAGTACATGCCTTTTATCAGATTGAAGATAAACTTTATTATAACTGGTGGAGATGGTATCAATGATTTGTGGTCTATGAGAATTCTGTAATGAGAAATGGTAATCTGTCTTGGGGCAAACAATATTGTTCTGTTTACTATGCAATTAACAATATTAAGTCAGATTCTATAACTGATAGCTGAAAATAGGGGTGGTAGGAAGAAACTGGAAGCACTGGAAACTTTCACAGGACAATTATCTGAGGAACTATAAATTATTTATGGCCTGACATTCTCTCTCTTACTCACAAAAACGTTCCTCACTGCTCCGAAGATGTTCACTGCAAAAGTATTCAGATTGCAAGCAGTGTGAGGCAAAGCCAGAATCTCTCCTTGTCACAATTACTGAACATAGAAGAACTGCATAGTAATTTCATTATCAGAAGAGCAGCAATAAAATCAGAAATAGAAAACCCCCAATTTTACCTTGGAAAAGGTATGGTAATGAACTAGCAAGTGTGACAAAAAGGGACACAAGAGCAGCTTTCTGCATGCTCTCACTTTTAGTGTAAAATAAAGGCAGAGTACTTCCCCTGCTTGGAACTTCTCAGCTTTTATAGACTGAGTTCCATACCTTTGATTTTTGAAAATGATTGAAACACTGTACTTCTTGTTTACTCTTAACTCAGCCTTAAGCAACTGCCATATGGAGCTGCAAACACTACAGACATAACAGAAATGGTCCTTAACTAACGGTCAGAGTAAATTGTATTGGGAGTCAAGTGGGGCCACTTTCAAGTAGCTGTTTAAGACACGGGATGACCGATAATGGAGTTTCACTGTAAAACAATGCAATTTTTACTTTACATTATGAAATACAGAACTGTAAATACAATTGACCACAAAAATCTCACTGACTTTTTCCAGTCTATTCCTTAACTGTATACATGCAGTCCAGCCCTTTTAGCTCCGATTCCACAGTGGTAATAATTTTGTGGTTATCTCAATAGGAACTGAGGCAGAGCTATGGCACAGAGTTTTCTCAGCGACCAAGGAAGACCTATAAATTGTTATAGTCTTTCTTGCTAAATCAATCTTTAAAAAAAATAAATCAAACGATTGCATTCTTAAACTAGCTAATTCCATGTGCAGCTCTCCAGAAACGTGGTGCTCCATGGAGAGCACCATTGCACCCAGCAGGCAGAAGCCACATTTAAGACAGCATGACACACCAGTGCTCTGGCAACCAGGATGCTACAAGAAGCGGCTGCTTCTGACAGCCTCAGAGACCCTCTCCTGCACCTCTAG